GGCCGCTGGCTTCGCTAACTCACGTTTCTGACTATGGGCTGCCAATAACGGTTGGTTCTCGCGGGTGTATCGCTGAGTGGGGAAATGTATTAGAAACGTGAAGCGGTTGGTGGTGACCTGTGGGCTTCGCCGTTCTAGTCTCCTTCGCTCAGTCACCGCCTCCCTGTCTTCCCGGCGCTCGGGAACTACCGGGGATCTACAGAGCTAACGAAGCTACCTTCGGTCGGACCGCACCGGCTACCGGGGGCTGGCTAACTATAGCGGCTAAAGATTCTCCGTGGTGGGTGCCGTTCCTCTAACTCACTAGCCTCGCCTCCAGGCAGTAAATAAACTACTTTATACAGGTACCATTATCTTTAAAGGAGGCGAGGAATAACTGAACATCTCAACTGAGCAGGACGGGAGGGGAGGGAGAAGCCATAGCTAACTGCTAATGCTAATGAAACTAGAGTGTATGAAAACTTTGAAAGTAGTGAAAGTCCCTAAAAGGGAGAAACTAAGTGTTTAAGTGAACTAGTCTACGTTTAAATGTTAAGCGGGTAAATAACCGCTGTAACGAGTAAACTAATTTATATTTAGCGTTCACTGACAGAGCTACAGCACCAAACAGTGTACACGAGCGGAAGTAAACCGTGGTCTACGCTTACCTGCGTAACGTTCCAAATGACGTAATAATTCTGCATACTCATTAAAACTTATTTTGCCTGTTTTATTTGCACAGGGAAACAACAGTCACAGTTGTGTCAGTAAAGCGTGCATTTCAGCATTTTTTTAAAATTTCTGGCTGTCTTTAATACTCTCCCCAGTGATGAAAGTCAAATCCCATTTTAAATAAATATCTATTTTGACACCAAGAACACTGAGGGATATTCTTGGCTGCAGAATGAGATTGTGACTAGGATGAGTGGGCGGCTGACACATTAAAATGGCATTCCCTTTTAACTGATGCTTCAGAATATTATTTGAACGTGGCTGCTGGAAGTTCAGTGGAGCTCTTGGAAGATGCTTCTCTGACAAAGAAGAAATGAGCAAAGTGCCTTAGATCATGGATGACTGGTTGACTTCCTCCACGCCGAATTAAAAACTCTAGACAACTTCACTGGAACTAAATCTTTGTCTATTGTTCCATGCATGCAATCGAAATATTCCATAACAACTGTTCAAGGGCTTCAGTGCCACATATGGTAAATCTGCTGTTTGGATATAAATCAAGCATAGGATTATTCGCAGAGAAAAGGTCGTGGCAACTCAGTTGGCAGCAAGGATGACGCATAGTGATGTGGTCATTCTAAAGCTTAAGCTCTGGTCACGGGTGCAGGATGACTGATGCTCAGATGCGATGATGATACAAGATCCTCTCAAAAATAGCATGTCCCTGTGACAGCCCATCCTCTACCTAAATGTGGGGTTGGCACGAACAAGAACGGGAACGTATTTGCTATTTGTATTCCTCCTTAGGCGATCTGTCAAAGTCACTGTTTTTTTGTTTTTTTTCACCCCCTCCACTCCCCTGTGCTCTTCCAGGGGCTGGTGACTGAATTTCAATGCTGCGTTAATTATCCAATTTGTTTAAGGCAGCGGCTGTTGAGAGGACCAAGGAAAACCTCCTGACTCGTGTCTCAAAGTGTCCATGAGATCTTTGAGCAGTTGCCCAAACTTGCCAAGGTCACCTTTGAAATTACGGTGTAATGAATGCACTTGGCTGTGAAGGACTGATGTTCAGCACTGCACCACATGATATTTTGATTAACATAAAATTGCAATGCTGCCTCTTCCTAACGCTTCGGACCGGTGATCATCGCAGTAGTTTATTACAGCCAGCTGACATTACTATGGTAACACATGCAGTGCAAAACTGCCACAAGGCCATTTGTTGTTGTAAGAATGGCCTATTTGTTAAAATAGTGACTTTTATGAGAATATTTGATTATTTTTTGTCATTGGTTAGATGACTAACAGTCTCATTCTGAGTTTGATATAGATTGTTTACACAGGCATACTTACACAAACTCATATTATCAGCAAATTAAAAGTATAAGATATTCGTGTTATGATGGATTGCTCATTTTATATATCATTTCCTCCTATCCAGGTGTCAGACAGGTGTGACTATGTTTTCGTGAATGGCAAAGAGATGAAGGGGAAGGTGAAGATGATGGTGAACTTTACCTACAGCTACCTGAGTGCTCAGCTCGAACTCAACGTCTGGATGCCCCGACTCCCCCTCCAGATTGAGGTGTCGGACACAGAGCTGAGCCAGATCAAAAGCTGGAGGGTACCCATACTAACCTCCAAAAGGTGCGACACACAGAAAAACCATTTATTTAACATAAAAACTCCCCTTATTTGGTTTCTAGATGGGATTTCTAGAAGCATCCTTTAGCCCCTACAAATCCAAATCATATCTCTCCAAGGGTTTAGGGTTTTGATTCCATTACATAATGTACTGCAATATCTCAATGTGATCCAATCAAGCAAAGAGACAGTGTTGAGTGATTGGAGTATAGCAGGTCAAAGTATTTACCGTGTGACAGGTGTGACCTGAACGTGTCTGTTTGTGCTAATGTCCCAGAGCTGGCTGGAACAGTGAAGAAGATGACAGGAAGGGGAAGGGTTGCATGCTGCAGTCTCAGCATGCCCTGGTGCGGGTGCTAACCCACTTTGTGGCAGAGCAGGCGGACCCTCGGGATCCTATGGCTTATTTCCTGGGCTTGGATTGGCAGGTGGATGTCTCAAAGCTGGTTCGATACTTCATGAAGGTTGAGGACCCTCGAGTGGCAAAGCTGCAAGCAGGAAGGGTGCTGTCGGGCCGAGACCTGGGGACCACCTCCATCCAGGTAAGAAACTGAACTATTGCTTGAATTAACCTTGGCTTAAGCAGGCGGTGACCAACATCATAGTGAGTAGCTAATCACAACCTGGATTGGAGCTTACTCTTTGAGTAGACAAAAGCTGTATTTAAGTTTGATAAGGGCACAAGTTTTAGCTTGAACCTGACGAACTGAGCTGGTCCTGGTAAGCAGATACAGTCCGAGGCATCCTTATTAATTTACTCTATCTGATATTGTTCTGTGACAGGTGTTTTCACCACTGTCTGATGCAATCTTGGCTAAGACAACTATCAAAGTTGTGGATGACAAAGTGACCATCACAGAGTTGGGAGTCCAGCTGGTTACAGGCCTCTCCATGACTTTACAGCTTAGTCCTGGAAGCAATAGGGCCATCCTGGCTACCACAACCACACAGGAGGTTCTACAGACCCCTAAACAGGTAACAGTCTTAATCCATTTAAATGCCTCAAAACATGAACCACAGATTAAAAGCACGATCACTTACCCTAACCCTATTTTCTATTCAGGAAGCTTTGGTCAGTGCCTGGGTGCAGTTCAGTGATGGCAGCCAGACGCCCCTTGACATTTATGATCCTGCTTACTACAGAGTGACAGTGACCTCTCTAGATCAGGGGGTGGTGTCGGTGCAGGGCACGCCCCCAACTGTGGTGGCAGAGGGTGAAGGAGAGGGAGTTCTGGTCAGAGTAGAAATGTCCATCTGTGAGGCCTGCCAGAAGTCCAAACGCAAAAGCACGGTGGCTGTGGGCAACGGCAACCTCAAGGTCAAATTCCAGGTGAACAGCCGGCGCCCGGGGGCCAGCAGCACTGCTAGCAGCAAGGACAATGGCAGTGACTATGGGAACGATGGGGAAGAGGTGGACAGTGAGAGGAAGCAGAGGAGGCCGTCGCAGAATCCGCGCAGTTCAACCTCAGATAGAGAGGAGAGTGCCATGCAGAAGATCACAACCACGATCAAATCTACAGAGCGAACCTTCATAACCAGCGGCAGCCTCGGGGGAGTGGGTAAGACCAGCAATTCAGGAAACCCCAGCAGTCCCACCACCGTGGTGAATATCAGCATGATGAGCAGCCCCAGTGACAGCAGCAAAGCATATGGCTCAGACAATATGATAGTGGAGGATATGAGCAGTGTTAGCTTTACTAGCACTGTGAAGGCCCCTGGGAACCTGGTCAACTACAACAACTTCCCCACCAAGGTGGAGGTACCTGGGGAGGAGACGGAAGAAGAAATTGGTGGCGAAGAAATGTTGGCCAACAGGCCGCTCACAGACTTGGAGATTGGCATGTACGCTCTGTTGGGCGTCTTCTGCCTGGCGATCCTGGTTTTTCTGGTTAATTGCATCTCGTATGTTGTTAAGTTCAGGCACAAGCAGCCTCCCTCTCATGGCCAGGAGCCCACAGGGCACAGGCATGACTGGGTATGGCTCGGCACAGACGCCGAGCTGGTGATGAGCGTCCCAGGCAGTCCAGTCCAGCAAGACACCCAGACAACAACCACCATCATAGACATCGGGCCTGATAAGACTGCCTCTTTGTCCAGGAGGCCCAGTTGCCTGGCCTCTGTTACAGACTCTCCCCTCAGCTGCGTGGGCTCCCTCAGGAGCAAACCTATGCACACCGAGTCCCTCCACTCGCCCACAAGCAAGAGAAAGAGAGTCCAGTTCACCACCTTCTCCTCTCTGGAGCGACAGCATTCGCCACATCTCTCGCCCAGGGAGAATGGCCATGGCATCCACTGGGTTGGGAAAGAGGACAGTTGTGAGGAGGAACCCCAAGTGCCCATTACAGAGCCTGGGGAACATTTATAATACAGAACCTGATCAGACCTCACATGTACAGTAGATGTGGCTTTGATCACCTCAATGCCTTTGTTAACTTCAACAACTGTCTAGAGTATGTGATTTTGGAATTGCCCTCCTCTTCATTTCATTACCTATCAAGGCCTTTTACATGTACATGTACTGTATATTACTGTTAATATCAGAGTGTGGATGCGTGTGGTAATGTTTCAGATGGTTGACCAGATGGACTCTTATATACACAATGTTTAAAGCCACCAAATGTTGATGCTGCATGTGGATATCTAATTCTCTAAATTTTTGCACTCACATGCTGGTATATACAATACAAAGACACAATGAAAACGTATCCCTAATAACAAATATATTTATTACCAGTTATAATAGAGAACTCAGTTTGACAGATATGGATTTCACCAAAAATGTGGCTTTGATTAAACATAATTCTAACTGAAATGAGTGTTTTCTATCATGTAATATCAATACATTTTTCTTTGTAAATTAAAGCTAATCTAATTTCCATTAGATTTTTTTTTCATTAAAAACACTATTATCTTGAATATTGTCTTTCAACTGATTTTCTATGTTAAACACCTGCCTCTCTGGTAACAGCATGCTCCTGATGTTGGTGTATATTTTCTGTAATGCTTAATTTTACAGTTGCATCAAAAATATTGTATAGTGCTGAACTTTATTTATATATAATATTCACGGTTTTCCAAGCAGCCATTGCCACAGTGTGTGGCCAAAATCAACCTTTGTATCTGCAAATTACAAGAACCTTTTGTGCCCCTCTGCCCTTTACACAAATTGAGTTTTTGCTCGGGACTTGGATGTGTGCAAGCCAACCGTTGCACTTCATTAAAAATGAATGTGGTAGCATACAGACTGGGAGAATAAGAAATATAGGAACTGTTTTAGGTAGAGTAGATTAGCTGATCCTGCACAGCATTTGAGGGGAAATCAAGATTTAACAGAACTTTTTATAAGCATGAGAAACAGAGATTCTCAATAAAGGTAATTACAACAGCATACATTCTTAGACAGTGGTAGACTGTCTGAGGGCTGAAAAAATAAGAAGGGCACCAATTGCATCTGGTGGGGCAAGATTAAAATTGTTTTATTATGACTTCAAAGTATTATTATTAAATACTACTAATTTTCTAGCATGTAAGGCAGACTATACGGCACTGCATTACATTCTACACTGGAAAGGCACTATAGAGGGAACGTTATCATGGTTTTTTTTTGCACACTGGGCCACCATAGAGGGCACTTTTGCTGTGTTTCATTCTAACATGGAGGCAACCCTCGAGTCCACCAGTGTTCTCAGCTCACCAACCGCTCAACAACAGTTGTTTTTATTAAGTAGAATGAGTAAACAGAAAACCCAAGTTTTCTCTATATGTATACTAAAACATAAATAACAGTACATCATTAGTTTCATCAATATATTAAATATATTAACAAGACAAACAACCATTTCTTGTCTAGGTCTTTGGTTCAAAGTGCTCTGCAGCATAATTTCTGTCTGGCAGTGCAGATAAAACGGGATTATTTTGCATATTAGTATCCTGATTCCTTAAAAGACACTTGTGATGATTATACCTATGCAAGGTAGACAGACCGGTGTAATGCCCTGTCCTCTGTCGCCGAAGTTCCTGAGAAAGTATCCAGAGTAGGGGTTGAATGCCGCGACCTTACGCTCAGAGCAGGGTGTCCACCAGCCGCTGGTAGGTTTCTCTCTCCTGTTTCAGGCTGTGATGCTCTTCCACGTAGAGTTTTCCATTTCTTACCACTCTCTCTCTCAGCTCATGATCTGCCACCAGCCTCTGAGATTGATGCACAAATTCCTGGCAAGGATAAAGGCAAAACGTGTCTCATTCACTGCCAAATGCCACTTAAAGCTTGCGGTTGAAGTTGCCTGAAGGTATGTTTTTTTTTAAAGCATAGAAGATAATCCAAGGCACGAGAACAGAACTCACTTAAAAGCCAGTGCGCTGATTAGTAAATACTTCATAAAATGCCTGTACATTGCCAATGGAGATATTTGTGGCTCTAGATCTAAATGAGGCTGTCCAATACACATTTTCAGTCTATCCTAATAGCTGCCACCTCTCACTTGCTTATGAAGAAAGGGAGAAACAAATAAAGTGACTGCTGCGATGCTGCCACAACAGCTGTCACAGGGACAGGGGGAGGGGAAGATGAGGATAAAAATGATGGCGCCGTCGCTGAGAACTGACTGAGATGTGTTGTACCCACACAGCATCCTGAATCCTCGTGGCTCATCTGTGGGCCCAGCAGACAGCGGGGAGACTCCAACAAAATGAAGTGAAAGTGCCTTAAGAGTGTTCCTACAACATGGCAGCCAACATTTACTGCAGCAGAGAGCCAATAGGCACGCAAAGTTTTAGCCTCTGCCAGTCAGCTGGCCGATTCACTGTACTTCACTTCACTCAAGTGATGTGATTATGTCTGGAGAGGCTCTTGGTAGGAAACAGCTCTTCTGTATGGTCATATGAGAGCTATAAATCCTCAGCAACAGGATTAAAGCTCAACTTATGAGCAGCATGCTTATAATCACTTCACTGTAGTGCAAATTATAGAGCCAGGCAGGAAGTGCCATTTTTCTCTTCAAAGCTCTTGAGTGCTTGTGTGTTTGTTTCTTTTGACATATTTCTTGATACCTATACTCCTCGAGTAATTACTCTGAAGGCTTAAAGAACCAGAAACACTGTCAATCAGAAAATAAGGATTTTAAAGCATGCAGGAAAAAAGAAGTAATGAGTTGTGATCCACTGCAAGAAAAGTTGGCTGAAAGACTTGCTGCCTCTCAGTCCTGGCTGAGGTCGTGGTTTATCCAGCCCAAGTTGCTGCAACCATCTGTGAGAGCCTTCTCCTGGCAGCTCAGCTGAGCACACGTGACCCCCCCCGGAGAGGACTTATCCCTGCCGCTACAACAACATCACGCTACAACATGGTGTCTTGACAGCGCCGTGCTCAAGCCCTCGGTCAACTGGCCTTAACCTATGCTATTCTCCTTTTGCATCCAAGCTCATTAAGTATGGCTCTGATGGCTGATCCCATAGGTGATCTTTAGTACAAAAAAACAAGATCCAGGACCCTGATGAAGACCTAGAGTCGACATTCATTGGCCTGTTTGATTGCCTATATGCTTGAAAAATAAATCTAAAATATTAATTCACCCGGACGGAGCTTTGGGCCTTTTTTCCCTCCATGGTTGTCTGCACCCCTCAATATCAGGCAAGACTTCCTGGATCTTGTTTTTTTTGTATTTTCTCATTAAATATCAGACTGAATAGTTCTCGCGGGAGCTCCCCACTTTGCACTTTCCTATGTGTTGCATCACTGCGTGGTAATGTGGTATCTTTGCTCTGTCCCTGAAGGTTGCACTTTTTGATTCTAATCTACGCAGCTGAGGAATCAGCTCCTTTTGTTTTGTTTTATCTGCTCAGATTGGACTAATGATGAGAATTTAAAGTACAAAGTTTGACTAAATGATGTAAAGTTTCCCTACTTACAATTGTGAGACTTTTTAAAAGGTAAATCTACGCCAGGAAGGGACTCTTCAGTCATCCTGAGACAGTGCTTCAATACTACTTATCAGCAGTACTTTTATGGGTCAGCTGAGGTGACAGGAGTAGCAGTGTATGTGCAGTACATCCCCTCTGTAGTCCATCAACGCTGTCAGTGTTGAAGCTTAAAGGGGTTTACCACATGTGGTCACCTGGTCAGTGTTTGTTACTATATACAGTACCTGAGGAGATGAGTACAGCAGGCCAGTGAACTCATGCTGCACTACAGCTGCATTCCCTGGAATGTCCCTGGCCAACACGGGCACCCCGAGGTCCATGGCCTGTCGGACCAGAGAGATTAAACACTCAAAAGTCGCTTGAGATCCACAATGTCAAAAGAGACAAAAGTTACTTGCTCAGACTCACTCATTGTATAATTCTTAGAAAAAACCCCACAAAAGCACCTTGGAAACTGTGCAGCTTGGCTATTCTGCTCTTGGGTGCCTTAGTTCACTTACAGAATTAACAATCTGTATCAGTTAATACCTTCAGCAGGTTGTTGAGTGAAACATGCTAACACACTAATCAGACTTTAAGCCTACTGTGGATTGCCTTAATCGACTGTTTAAAAGAGATTAAGTGGATTTGCTGGTTTTGCTCACTCAGGAATGGGAAGATTGGAGTCAAGCAATTAATTTGGGTAATTGTCCCTGAAGTGGTCAGATAACATTGTAGCTGAGCGAGAGACAGCAAGATAAGGACTCCAGTAAATATTCACACGCTAAAATTTTCAAGGGCTTTCAATTCTCAGTATATACTTTAATAAATTAAATTCTCATTACCAAAACACTATTCAGCACCACAATGCATGAGCTGTAAAAAGATACTGAATTGTTACCCAAGAGTCCTCGAGATGTTTACCTCCAAGATGGCTGCTGACATGCCCTCCGAGACGGAGCTGTTGACCACGGCGAAGCACCTTTTCACGGCAGCGTGAAGCTCCTGTTGGCTCCTCTCCTGGGCCAAGAAGACCCCTGCTGTTCTGCAGAAGCAGTGACAGAGCTCAGTTCTGCGTGACTCAAGGCTCACGGAGGCGTGAATGATGCTAAAGGGCAGTGACAAGCTCAGGGCAGGGAACACGGCTGCGCTATGTGTGACATGCACAGAGAGTCCAGGTGAAAGTCCTAACCGGAGACGGCAGGAAGCTGCCGCAAGGATCTCTGCTGTGGTGAAGGCCCTCGGCGAAAAACCGAGAGATCAGGCGAGACTTGAGAGTGGGAGGACAGATAAAAAGGAAGAAAGAGAGGATCTTGGCGCTCCTCCCAGATTTTCATTCCGTTCACATTATATCAAGATAAATGTAAGCTACATTTGCTTAGAGGTTTTCTTTTACCACATGGGATAAATAGAAAGAATTCCAATTTCTCACAGGAGAAGGATTAGCAATTAGACGCAGAACGCAAGTTTTTCTTTTATGAGATGTGTAACTGATGAATAAAAGAAAAGAGAAAAGAAGGCTTACCTTTGAACAACAGCTCCCACTTCAACAGTAAGTGCAGGATCAATCTAAGAGAAGGCCGACACATCAAAGAGACACCGACTGTCAAAAGCTCTGTTTTCCTCAAGGATGCCAGCGATGACTTAATCGTGAGGATAAAATAAACAATGACACAATTAATAATTTCTATCATGAACAAATCCTGTATTTTCAGAGATTGGGGTCAGGGTGGGGTGGGTGGCCAATCTGATTAATTGCAACGTGGGATTTGCGTGCATTAGCCTGCCCACAGAAAAGTCAAAGCGTTAGCAATTTAGGTCAAAGATGCTGCCAAGCAAGCTGCTACTTTTTTTTTTCTCCCCCTCTTTCATGTTATAGCTCATGAAATTTCAAAATGGAATCTGCTGTAAAGCACGTGTGCATTAAAATCGAAGAATCTCAACCGAGAACATTTTTGTATCCTGGTGTAATCTGGGATTTAGCAGACATTGTAAAACCAGCGGGGGGGGGGGGTGATGATCACGATAAAGGCTGTATTAACAAACACAAATGATTTAAGCACTGTACTGATTGTGTACTGTTCCACGGTGAATCCACAGGCCGCACAGACCGGTCAGAAGGGGAAGGTAGGCTCTCTGTTTTGGTTGCTGTTTTGCCCTTTGCCACATATTTTCTTGTTCTTAAACAAGAAGTATTTGATAAAAAAGCTAACATTACATTTTTAGAAATATCTTCAGACCTATTTGACAGAATGTGCAGCCCACTACGGTGCTTCATAAAGCCCAGTTGGAGAGGAGTGAGATGTGTCATCGCTGACAAACTGACCTGAATTTTCCTCTTAATGACAGATGCTGTGCAGCCAGAGCGCTTATTACTTGAAGTTGCTGTGGATTTGTAGTACACCATGACAGCAAAGCAAAGTCTGACTTCTTTTTGTATTCTTGGAATCCCATAATTATCATGGGGAAATCTGGTGGTCATACAAATACATGTTTATCATTATAATAATAATAATAATAATAATAATAATAACATATTCCTTTCCATTTCTCAGACAAACAAACAAGCAGGCTTCCACTGTGATTCAGGGTTAGTCGAGACAAATCAAAAGTCTCTGCTTCCGCTGAACCACTTCATCAAACAACAACTAAGCATAGCAGAGCGAGAAGCGGCAGTGAGGCCGTGTATAAGCCCCCGGCCATGTCTAATTGAGTTGTTTCTGAGGAAATCTAAAGCAGAACATACCTTTTGCCTGACACCACTGTTTGAAAGAAAGAACACACACTAAAATACTGTACACTCATGTCATATCAAAGCAAGTCGGGGGAAGAAACGATAAAGACAAACAGAGAGAAATCAATGAGTGACATATTGGAAAAGAAGAGCAGTTGCAAGAGCACTGAGGTTGCTGCTGTTGCCCGGGACATGACTTATATCTGCAGCACTGAGCACAGAGAAACATAAAAGTGCAATCACTTCATTTTGTTTTTTAATGTATGAAAAAAAAATCCCTGCTCTGATTTGATTGTCTGGCTGACTGCTTGATTTATGAATATCATAAATCATGGCAGACTTTTTTCCTCCAATTATTTGACTTTGACTTTGTTTAGTTAATGTCTTCAGTAATGATACACACAGTGTTGGGTAGTAATTGAGTACATGTAAATTTCTTTTTTAACCAATAATCACTTCCCGATTAACCCCGGGGCTCTATAGATGTTGACAGGGGAACGGGGTCGATCACATGTTGTTCTATTGTGTCACACACCCATCCACACAGCTTCTGATTGGTCGACAGACTCAACCCAAGGCATCATGGGGTTGCCAGAGGACGACTAACAACAACAATAGTTTTCAATACGGAAAGAAAATGGATAAATAATTCCAGAAGACATTCAGACGCATTGCTTTATGTGGATTGGAGGTTTAACGTGTGTTTTTAATAAAGTGACACCACTGACAAGTCCTATGTTTCTCATTTGTGTTGCTTGTAAGATTAAATGTTAAATGTTTTTTAATGTGTTAATTTGTTTCAATTGAAGTTTGTGCTTCAGGGCACAGCTAACAGGGATCTTAAACACATCAGCAATCACTGATATCTGATTTGACCAACTGGAAATGCTGATTTTTTACTGTTTTTTGTTAGTTTTATATATATATATATTATATTTATTATGTGATGCAGTGATTATTGAAACTTGGGTCACATGGATATGAGCAGTCACATTTGGTGTCATACGGCAGGTGTTCACCTGCGTTTAATGGGAGGAAGAGAAGGTCAGCGTTCACATATTAACCGAGCTAACAGGCACAACCTCAAATAATATTTGTCAAACTCACGTTTATGGCTGCATGTTTACAGACACGCCCCCATTAAATTAACTAATATTATTATGTCATTTATTGGTAAATATACGAAATAAGCATTCCTACAGCTTCTGCTGGGTGTGTTCTTGCGCATTGTAGTTGTGTTTTGTTGTTTGTTTGGGGACGAAGTTGCTGTTAACATGTGTTTGTCAAGTTAATCTGTCAAGAGATGTCGGAGCGAGTGGTGTTTGTTTGACAGCACGGGTGTGTGTGTGTGTGTGTGTGTGTGTGTGTCATGTCATGTTTGAGTATTTCATAGTTTTGTTATTTTAATTAGTTTTTGTTGATTGTTTCAATTTGTTTGTGGCAGTCAAATGTTAGACCAACAGCTGATTAGCAACAGCGCTGGTGTTGACCGTTGCCAAGGCAACTGGGCACCTTACTAGAATGAGCATATGCCGACTGTAATGAAAGAACAATGAGGGATTATACTGTATAAATCAAGTGTTAATCAAGTGATTTAATGTATAGGGAATAGGATAATTGTTTTATATTGGGAATAATAAGAATGATAGAATGAGCACTGTAAAAACAAATTATTATTTTAATAGCCTATTTTTTTAAATAACAGAATATTTTAGTTTATTGTAACTCTAATAGTCCAATGATTTTAATTTTATATCTAGTGATTGTATAATTATTTGTTTATTTTGAAATACTGAGATTTTAACACTGTTATATTGTGATTGTTGTCTTTGTTTTGTTCCAACTCAGTTGAGTTGAGTTCAGTTACCTGAAGATAAAGTAAAGCCACCGAAGAACAACGACTAATATTATTTAATTTATTATTTTCAGAATAAAATATCAATCTTTAAAATAAAATGTAAAAAAAAAGAGTCCAGTTGGATTTCTGGGTGTAACACATCCACTCTTTTTTAGTATGAGGCAATATAAACAATATTTTTAAATAATCCAAAAGTATTACTAACCACAAATATTGCCATGTCATTTTTATTCAGTAACTAGTAAAAGCAATCTGCCCCAACACTGGATACACAGGACAGAAGCATAATGCAAAATGCTTTGGCTATATTTTATACCAGCACATCTCTGATCAATATCCATTTATATTCAAATGAGGTCACTTTACACAGGTCAGTGCATTAGTCTATCAAGTAGTCAGTCAGTTAGGCACAAAAAGAAACAGGACCACTACTGCTGCTGATCCTGTCTGCAGAACAGTGCCATTTCCTCCCGGCGTTAATTCCAGCTAAACAGCTAAAGCCCGTATCTCTGCTACATCCAATTAGAGACTGCCTGAACTCCCAGGGAAGGTTTCTAGGTAATTTCAACAGTACAAAGAGTCACGGTACAGAGGGAGAAACATGTACAGTACTGTATAATGACTGTGTGCTTACCTTTGGCCCAATAATGACCAAAACATTCAGTGGATTCTCACAATGCCACTCTGAAAGACAAAAAATAAAAGTGGTTCTGTAAACGAAAACAGCTGGGGGGGGATGAGCAGCAGCTTTCTCAAAAGCAGTAAAGTTGTTTTTGCACAGACAGTTACTTAGTGTACCATACGTGTTATTTTTAAGCACAGTACAATTAAATTCCAAGAAATGCCATGTGAACATGCCCACATCAACAAACATTAATATACAATTTGACGCCCTCTAGTGCTGTCTTATTACCATAGCTGTATGCTATGAAAGTCTCATAAAATAAATATATTTAAACAAGATGTTGCTGCTCATCAGTGGCAATTCTCACAGCTGAATATATTAGATACATAACAAGATATATAAGACAGTCATCATAAAAATAAACACCGAAAAGGCAAGACCCAACGATACAACGTGTCTTTATAGGGCCAACTTGAGCTGTCAGAAGAATCTCATTGCACTTTCACATAAATTTTCAATTAGCTGAAACTCAACCGCAGAGATCTAACCTCATTTCTAATTGATGATGACATTAACACTGCCTCTACCACAGGGTACTACAGAAATACAGTCAGAATGGCTGCGAAAGCTTACCTGGAATAAAGTCTGAAAACATGCCAGCAAGAAACACCCCCCCTCTTTTAGGTGGCCTACTTCCTCTACTACTCGACTATGTGTTTCATTTTTATGTTTTTCATTACTAGCATACATATAAAACAGATTGCATACCCGAAAAAACTTCCACCAGGTAGAGGGGGTCCTTGACTCTTCTGAGGCCGCAGACCAACAGGAAGACACGCAGCTCATCCACATGCTCCGTGCTTACACCTGGAGAGAAGCCAGACGCACACAAAGACAGCACCACAATATCAAAACAGTGCATAATGAACATCCCAAGTACATCGGCAGATAATGAAAGCAATACATCACCCAAGGTCATGTGGAAAATAAGACAGCAGTGACTAATGTGCTCGCGCAATTCTCTGATCAGAGCGGTAACACTCAGCAGGGAAATAGTCTGCTGAAAACACTGGAAGGTTGCAGCCTAATCAGTGTGTAATACGGCATCACAGCTACAAAGTGCTCGGCTGACAATTTACTCAGTGAACAGCCCTCGATTCAAATGAGCTAACCCAACATCACGCTAACAACATCAAACTTGCCTTAATTGAGAGGCAGTGACAGTATGGCAGCTCTCTTCTCCCACATCGTTCACCTCTCATGATCAATCCAGAGATTAGTCAGAAACTCAACACAAAAATATAGTCAAGGATCTTTCATTTACGCTGATGAGAGCGATGCATTTCGATCAGTGCTTCATCAGGCTCATATTTAACGCTGAGCGGTTAACAGCACCTCCAACCCCGACGCACACGCTGTGTTCTCTTTGTCGCTAACATGCTGATGTTTAGCAGGTAGGAATATGATGATACACTCAACAGATGATTCGATACACACTGTGAAACGTTTATTTAACAAAAAGAAAATTGTTGAAACTGATTATAGCCAAAATTTTAAGTCAATCTAACTGAACTCTGTAAGTTAAAAGAAAATTCTTGATCAAGTAGCTTTCATTTCATGTCATTTTTATTTGTACTGTGAAAACAAAATACATAGTAAAAAGTTCTTAAACAGGATTGTTTCTATAACTACCAAAACTAAATTAGTGTCACTTAACTAGTAAAAGCTGCTTAATCAAGAATCAATTTCACCTAAAAAAAAATCATAGTTTGTGTTCGATGTAATCCGTCAGTTGAAATAACTAATATTATAGCACAATTTACAATACTGGGTTCATGATAGGGTTTCTCACAGTTTTTCTTAAACAAAATGAGATTGATGACATAAAAAGGTTTATGACTGACCGTATGTTTTTCTATTACACACAAAAAATTACAGCTAAGGCTGAAATCAATGTCATTAACCAACGTAAGCAGAAGCAGCCTAATGAGAAGATAACTTGATCAACAAATGATTAAATCATTTTATGTAGGGGGACATGAATGTCTCTATCAAATTTTATGGCAATCCATCAAACAGCTTTCAAGAAATATTGTGTGCCAACCAGTGTGCAGGATTTAGTGGCCTCTAGTGGCACCCTTTAAAAGAAGACCTGCTCCCTCTGTAGATAAAAACTCATTCTAAGGTAACAAAAACAGAACAATTCTTATTTCAAAGTGATTATAAACTAATGAAAACATAATGTAAGAATATTAAATTCCATTTCTGCCAATAGATCGTCCTAAATATTACACACTGGACCTTTAAAACCTGTCAACCTCCTGCTGGTGCTACAGGAAAAGTTACCAAATTCACTAGGATACATCCTCTGGGAACCATGAATGTACGTACCAAATTTTGTGCCAATATGTCCAGTATATATTGAGATATTTTACTGGATACGTTAAGATTCTGACCAGCTAGTGGCGCTAGAGGAAGAGTTGGGGGTGTCACCAATTTCAGTAGATTTGATTCTCTAGGGACCACAAATATCTGTACAAAGTTTCATGGCAATCCATCAAACAGTTGGGTGGATTGGAATATAAAACTCTTGTGAAGAGAACATTCAGACGTCACATCATTTCTAAAGCCATTATGCCCGGTTCTTCACAATGCCTGAGCAGGCAGTCTAGGTTTTGAAGTAAAGTCAACACTTTGGGGTCGAGGTCTGCTGGCTAAATAGAGGAACATTAATCTACACAAAAACAAGCAGATGTATAAGGATATCTTAACATTAGAGGGTTATCCAAGTGTCAGAAATTACATGTTTAATCCTTAACCTTTAATGCTTGCAAGTGACCCAAAAGAATAAACCATAAATGTTGAGCTGGTACTGCCGGTGATGGCTTTGGTGGAAAAGCAGTGTTTTTAAGTGAAGTACAAACTAAGCCAATGTATTTTGAAAGTGTCTGTGACAAACTGAGAAACAAACCATTTCGACAATAATACCGCAGACAGACACAAGCACGTGCTTAAAGCACAGTGACAGTCGAGTGAAATCCCCTGCTGCCAGATAAGTCCAGATCAGGAGGCTGAGGCAGCTCTTTTAATGCTATTAAAGAGCATCTTAAAATGACAGTGTGGAGTCCGGCCATTGACCCTGATCCTAGGAGCCGATTGTCAAAAAAGCTCTTCATCTGCGGGACGTATTGAACTTCCTGCATTGATTTCGCAGGATGAGAAAGCGCGTCAGCTAAGGGAAACATGTCACTACCTTCAGAACAAGATGCTTGTAAAATAATGGGAGGATAGCTGGAATCATACCAGAGCAGAGACCTGTCAAAATGAGCAAGAAATTCAAAGAAATAATAAAAAAATGAAATAAAAAAACCCAATTCATCCGTCCTCGGGGGTGGGAAACAATTGCACAAATCATATGTTGTGCCAGCAGCAATCTTTGCTCTCTTTCTCTTTGCAGTTCTGTGACTTCTATGTAAAACACATTTTTGTTCGTTTGCCTTTGATTTCAGAAGGACACTGAACAATCCCCTAATGCTTTAATCAGTGTGTGTGTGTGTGTGTGTGTGTGTGTGTGTGTGTGTGTGTCTGCATGTGCATGGATGTAGGAACACATCTATCTGAACAGCTCCTATTAATCTGTTGAGTGGCACAGGCTGACACAGGCAACAGATACTACAGAGAGTGGACAAAATCATGACAACACCATCAAAAAAAAGGGACTTCACATATAGTTAAAGCCAATTAACCCTTCATAAGTCCCGCCCCTTTTTGCTCTGTGTATATATGCTATGAAAAGACAACCAGCTAAAAGATAAAAGCAACATTATATATATATATATATATATAAAAATCACATGGAAAAGTTTGGGAACCTCTGAACTAGCTAGTATCAGCTTTTAGATGTAACTAGCCAGCTAACAGTTAACATTTTTTTAATGTAATCATGTCACTTTTATCTTTAAAACATTTTCAAATTGTGGTTGCCTTTTCAACATAGATTAGCCGAGCACATAGCATATCTAAGTACAGGAAAGGATAAAAGTTGAACGAAGTTCTGACCGAGGCTTGCTCAACTGTTATTGGAGCACAGAGCAAAAAGTGGTGGTAAATACGAAGAGTCAATTAGCATTATATCTAAATGTTATAGAGGTTTGATAATCATCCATTCTACATTCATACGTGGGGTTTTAAAGTACATAACACGTTGCAGTAAATTGTGCCAAAATTGCAGGTGTCTGTCACAAATCTGAGAAGTCAGAAGAACCAGTTGACTTCTCTCTGCATCAGGAGAGCCAGACATCAGAGGTGCATTCAGCATTCTGGTCAGACAAAATGAATTATACAGTACATTTAATCTTATAACATGGGGCTTGACACTTGCCTTCTGTAGATAACAGACACCAACAACCAGTACAGATCACAAGAACAACACTAAGTATGAGTAATTAAGCCTGTGACCTAACACATTCAGGTGAGCAAAGTATTCAGAAATATGTGTTGTCCCTTTAGCCTTGAAAACACATTGCATTTTTTTTTCAGTGATCTATTTTTAATGTCCACATATGTAACTCTTTTTCTGTTTCAATATGGAAACAACAGCCTGAAAGCTCATCATGGTAATATAATGAGCAAAGAACATGAGGCTATTTTCAAGCGTGCCCCCTGTGGCACAAACGCCGTTCCCTGATCATGCTCCTACACTATAAAATGATAATAGGCGTTGCACTTGACATCTGACCTTCCCTCATCTCACCTCTTCCCTTTTTAAATTACAATTTCACACACTGACAACAGACTCCCTGCTTGTTCCCTCCTCATCCTTCAGTGACTCAAAGCATCACTGCTCACTCTGTAGTGCTGTTCCTCATGTATCCCTTAACCCCACCTCACGAGGGGACACAGCAGGGGCCGCAAAACAACATACACAGAGTGGCTTTCATGGACCGACAGCTTTTGGATCCCTGTGCTGAAGTCTCTTGCCTTTGGAGGATACAGAGCACCCAAAGGATAACACAGACACACACACAGTGTAGTCATGTATATTCAGCCAGGGAGGTTGCTTTGCCTCTTTTATGTCTTTTTACAGTGTGCCACTGCAACACTGGGCCACACAGAATACATTTCTAATTAATTTATTCTAAACCAAATCTCTGTATTAAGGATGCTGAAATATAAATCTGGAACTGAGAATTATGTTGTATAGGATTTATCTAAAAAGCAAAGATCTTTAAGCACCCAGCTGAGATCTGGTATTATACTTTTTTAACTCACTTTCTTACCTGCTGCACAATACTGTGTTTTATAAGATAAAAACAGACATTGATTGTGTAAATATGGATAATGCACAAAGATTGAGTTGGATGTTCATGCATGAAACATTTAAATTACCTGGAGAAAACCTGGGAGATGAAGAAAACATTTTGTTTTAAGTCTATAGCAGTTCTGTTAGGTGTAAAAGAATTACTTCAAATATGCTGTTTGAAAGAACACAGTAGTACTCTATAATGTGGGGATTTTATTTATTTTCGCTCTTATATGTATCGCTGAAAGATGTATATTGTGAAATTGGTGGTATCCTGTAATCCAGGTTGGGAACCACTGCCATGTAATGTTATATAATAGAACAATGGCTAAGCGTCAGGGACAAGAAAACTCCCAAGTTTGTCAAAAAAAGGATCTGTATGCTTGTTAAAAATGATTAAAAAAAAATACATAATACATACAGAAAACTGTATAAAAAGTTCCCTGAACAGGAAATAATCAGAATCTCTCGTTTTACACAAACGTCTTATAGTTACTGAGTTCACTATTTGGGTTCATTGACAATTAAATAAGCCACTCAGTCAGTTTACTAAATGATAGAGAAGGGGTCCCTTAAGGATAATGGTTGGGAACCACTGCCATATGGGATGGGCCAGATGCCTGGCATGACACACAAATAAAGATAAACTAATTATTCCCAACAGTGATTCATTAAGCTACCCTTTATATAATATAGATTTAGCTAATTATTCATTAATGTCAGAATACAGGTTCCTGCAGGAGTCACTGAATGCCTTGTTACATTTAAAGAAAACAATAACATGACTACGTAAAGGTGTTGAGACTGATTACTGAAGGACACAGAACAAGCAGAAAGCAAAGACCACCCAATAACAACTAAATAACACTGCTTAAAAGATTTCAGACTATGGGCTAAGTTATCATTTTGATTGAATCTAGCTTTCTGCCTTGGGGTCGCGTTAACTCGTCCATATTACAGACAAACACAAGTAAAAACCCAGAGCATGTGTTGGTGTAAAGCACTGTGGTGAAAACACTGTGACAAGAAAAACATTTTCTCACTGATATTAAAACGCATCTGATCCACATCCAAGAAAAATGACAAATTAACACCATCAGACAACACAAATGCAGAAACGGGGACAATGTTTACGTCAACTGTGAGTCAGTTTACAGCGCTTTCATCACATCTGAGGAAAAGCACAATAGCAGTGACTCCTATTTCAAGTATAACAAATGGAGAAGTGACTATGGGCAATTAGTATTACTCGCACCGGTTGTGAAGGGTGGTGACAAATAGCCCGGGGCTGGAGAGCTATTAATCAATTGCTCCTCTCTGTACCCAACGGTGCTCTCTATGAGCACTAATGTACCTGGGATGGACATCATCTTGCAATGTCCAATTTAAAGTCCAGGCTGTTTGTGGAGAGAGTGCATATTTACTGAGCTACTCAGATGGGAGTTTGGAGACTGCAGGCGAGAAGGGACAAGGCTGCATATGTGGTATTCTGAGAGTTCACAGAGTAGATTTATGCTTTCTGATATGCCTGGTACTTTTCAGGTTGGGGTGGGTGTATGAATGTATTCCCTATCGTGCTCCCAGAGATGGCTCCACTGCACTGCACAACACAGTAGGTAGGGAGAGAAGGATGGAGTCTAGCATATGGCAAAAGGGCTTATGTGTACCATATTGCAAACAGTTACAAATATGTGAGCTGCTTAAAACGACATCAATAAAATCTATCTTACAAGGGAGCTTAAATCTGTGTGAAAGTAACTCATTTTATTGCATCCAACGCTGTATCCAGCACCTGTCCCACTGAGTTTGAGTGGATGTGCACAAAGATACCCCTCCTATAGTTTGAGACATAGCCTTACTAATTAGATGAGACACAACTGTCAGCTACGTTTATAATGCTTAGACCAAACTGACTCGGTGCCTGATCAAAAAGTTACTTGTCAATAACAAGCTGTTGTTAAACAGCACAAAATATTCAGCTAAAATAAAAGTGTATGCACTTCTCAGAGTAATTGCAAATTGTATGATTCAGTCCTGCTATGAAAGGAATAATACACCAGCCAAATAATAATTCAAAAAACTGTCTTATTTGTTTACTCTGGATGATCTGCAGACCTTCCCCAGAACAGCTTTCATTGGGAAATATTTTCTACTCAAGGCAAAAAAAAGAAAAATAATAAAAGCAGAAATTAAAACCAACTAAGGTACCTGAGCTCCTCAAGAATTCAGCCCAGCAGAACTTCTCTTCCACTTCAGTCTGGATACCTTTAAAATAAACACAGCCAAATAAACACAGCCAAATAAACAAGCTTCTACTGTAGATTAATACTAATATCCATTACGTAAATTGATTTGAGTTAAACAGATTAAATTAGACCTAAAACTAGGTTCAGAATTGTCTTTCTGATTTTGTGACACAACATTAATCACATCCTGTATTCTTCATAACCTTTATTCATATTAGACACATATATTAGTATTTGTATAAAAAAATCAATATCAATCCAACTTGTATGTAAAACAGATTTGATGCATCTTACAAACATTATTTTGTGTGGTCCACGTTAACAGCACTTCAGTGTGATCACTATCTGCTGACAGGCATAAAATATAAGCTTCCAGTGGTCCGGGCTCAGCCATGCAGCTGGCCAAAGGCTCTCTCCTCTAATCTATGAAGGGACACTATTTGCCAAACAAGGCTAGCGATGGGAAACAACATGGAAGAGTGATTTGGGCTGTCCTACATGGCACGGTGGCCAATGGCAAGAACAAATACAGCTCTGTACTGCAGACAGCATGATAATGGGGGAAAAATGTCAACGCTGATTAATGCAACACTTCAATAGCGAGTCAGGGATGCACAGCATCAGGAGAGGATATTCATCCTGCAGAGCTTACCTTGGGGCTGCACATAGATTTTACTGCTCTGGGACAGCTTTAGAGAAAGAAAACACAGGATTCTGGTTAAAACAAGTACCAAAACATAAATACATGTGTTTTAAACCCATCAGTAACTACTCGTAGTGTTTGTTTATAGAAATTACATTTGATTATTACTAACTGCTTCCTTCTCTGAAATGTCAGACAATAGAAAAGAACAATTAATGCTCTTCGCGCTCCAAACATATTTAATCAGAATCCAAACTTTAGTTAAAAAAGATTCAGTAAAACAGTTGATAAGATAATGGGGGTGCTACAAAATAAATCAGAGGGGATGGAAAGGAAATTGACTGGATGTTATCACACTAGATCCATCCCCTATGTGTGTTTTCTGTCACAATAAAAAGCGTGCCGATGCCTCTCAGTGCCTGTCCTGTCTGCCTGCTGTCAGCACTAAATGGCAGAGATAAAGCACGCCACTCGCCTCAATCTGCAGCCTACGGAGGCAATCTAATCTGAAAATAAAACACAGTAATATTGTTTTAATGCCAAACTATTACGGGAGAGGGCAGGATATTGTGTTTGTATAGTAAAAGCCCTCCTGTTCCATTTATTGAAGCTGCCAGGCTCCTTCTGTCTGCTGAAGTGCTGTAAAATGCAGACAAAAAAACTTTTGCTCTCGCTACTTGATTTTTCATAGTAGCTTGGTACAAAGGGTCAATATCTTATTTGATCACTTATGACAGTCTTGTTAGTTGCTAACTTTATATGGGGGTGGGGGATGCAGCATAGTAGGTAGTCACAAACATACAAATGAACTAGTAATTAGACACACACAGACAGACAGTGAAGCTTAAAGGTCCTATAGGTCATTTAAAAACACAGTTAGCTAGTTGGATGCCCACGCCTTGCATCACTCTTGCCTAGTAGAAAGCAATCGTTTGCTTTTTGGCAAAAAAAAAAAAAAAAAAAAAACGTTTGTCATGTTAGATAAGTAGTATCATAGATCACGTTAGCCGGGGAAGTCATTTTGCATCAACATCAGATAATATTTTGGTTAGCCAGCCAGCTGCAACCCAGCCACACTGAATAATGCTATCAGTTGCTAGCGGCCTCGCAACGCAAACAGCACGCCATCCAGATCAGCCCTGGAAGTCTGAAAGTAGCTCACAGTATTTTGCTACGTCAGCTAGAAATGTGTTTGTGTTAGTAAGCAAGCTAGCTATAGCCAGATAAGAGCAGAATATCTCAATATATGTCACAAGCTTTGCAGTAATGTTAGCTTTGACTTTGGACTTTGTGTTGTGTTGGGTGCTGGCAGACGTCAGCGGACTCCATTTATAAGCTGACGTTAGCTAGTGTTGCACACTGATGACAGAGGAGGCACTCGGGGGCATAAACACATCTTTTTGTTTTTCCCAGAGAATCCGACCCACATCCCTACGTAGAAACACATAAATCAGTCCACAGGCAACTCAGAAAGTTGGGGATGGTGTCATTTTCTTAGTTACGTTACAACCTGTTAACATATTGGCAACACAAAGTGATCAATACATAAAAATAATATGTAAAATGCCTCAGAATCTTACATATAAATGCTTTAAATGAGGAAAACTGGTAGGAATATGCCACATTAGACACAGATTGCAAGCGCCAAATCATTATCGGTTCTTTTTAGATAAAAACTACCACAGTTGGCCTATTAAAATACCAAAGAATATAATCATACCAAAAAGAACTCAGCCTCTTCTTTCATTTTGCTTGTAAATGCAACTGCAAATCTGATAAAAAAAGAAAACACTTCATTATCACCCCTGTGAAAGCAATTTGAGTAAGAAAGATTTTCATTGCTGACAGCAAGTGTTAGCCTTTTTACAAGCAATGACAAAAGGAGGAAAAAGCAGTGGTAACAACAGTAAAACTCTAAAATCTCCAGACTGAGTACGTGAGAGCACAAAAACTGCCTGTGGTTTGAAGCCAAAGGATTTAGGGATGAATACACCAAGAATACAAAGAGGAAAACAAAGGGAATGTAGAGCAAAAAACAGTGGGGAGATATTAATTTGCGTGTGTGTGAGTGTGCATTATTAAATGGGCCAACGGGCTGCGAGTGGTGACTGAATTTCATGATCAAGGTTTGTGTGTGAAGGCAGTAACAGCAGGAGGTGCGTGGATTCAGATGTTTGAAGTCATGAGACCTGGATCTCCCTAGTTCTCCCAGAAGGCAATTATCCCCTTAGATTTACTAGATGGATGCCCTACAATCTGTTTTCATCATAATGATAACATGGACACCAGGGTCTGGCGCCTGGGCACAGCACAAGATATTGATAGGCTTGTGTGCACATTAACTTTTCAGTGTTAAACTAGGGGAGGAGAAAACACAGCTGGGGTCAGCTTGCGTGTGCTCAGCCTCATTCTTCCATGCCAGTACTCCAGGAACTAGAATATCTTGCAGGGATCCAGTCCTTGTTCCCCACTGATACTTGATAGCCTAGTCAATATGATCCAAATGCTTTGTACCAGTTTAATATATTGAATAGTCATGGAATTCTTGTAACTTATCTAAAACAATACTTAAAGGACTAATGTTATACCTACATTTTAACAGGTCACATATTGCCTGAAAGGAATGACTTTTGAATAGTTCCAGGAGCATAATGACAAACAAGATGATCAAACTGATCAGAAGCTAACTGCTAATAGGGTGGTTTCTTTTGTTTTGTTGTTGTTTATGTATTTTATACATTAACATATGTATATATTTTTATATATGTATATGTATTGGCAAAAACAGCTTAATGTGCAACCGGCTGATCATATTTTATCACAGTGGATTCAAGCAGATCTATTTACTGGCACAGTTAACGGTATCCAAACAGTAAGAAAGTGGTAAAGTAAACTGTGACACTGATGAGTGGGTTTGACTTTTATGGGTGTCTAAAAACCGACAGAAAACTACAACAAGCGGCGCAAGAGAGGAACGCGTACCAAAGGACAACAATGGCTTTGCAGGTGACACGTTTCTAGCAGCGCGTCTGTGTTTGTAATTGTTCAGATTATGTTTGTTTGTCAGTGTTATTCATCTTATTGCCTATTTTTGGTAAAAGACAATAAATAGATGTTTAAAAAAAAGTTAGAAAAAGAGGCCACATATGCAGTGATTTATGGAAATGAATTAAATTAGAGGCTGTCTTTATTTCAGACAAACCATTTGAATTCAAAGGTGTAAATGGAGGAATTTACTTCCTACTTGCACCTAAGTCTGCATCAAACTTCTATAAGAGGAAGTCAAACTTTTTGTGATACATTACTAGCCTATTTGGTACTAATAATCAATAAGGTGTCTATTATTGATATATATGTATATTTTTCTATTTTCTAATATTCTTATTTTTTGCTGTTTATTGGATAGGGCTGAAGGCAGACAGGAAGCAGGGGAGAGAGAGGTCTGACATGCAACAAAGCTTGTATATTAAGACGACTGTATATCACACTCACAAACATTAACTTGTTCCAACAGACCTTTCTCATGGCAGACATGTTACCCTGTTACAATAAGACAAGCACAGGTGGAACTAATAACACTAATGATGCCACATGAAAGCCGTGTAAATGACTGAGCATGCACAATAACAGCACCCTTTAACTGGCACACCTAAATGAAACGCATCCATAATTAATGCTATTAGTTGCACCTGTGCTCTTCCTGCTGAGAGGCTAAAAAGTCTGCCACAAAAAAACAGCCTTTTACACATTATAGATTCATAAGGTAAGTTTCATTATTAGTGGTTAGTAGTGTTATATTAGTTAAATATATTACTGAACAGAACATGGTTATCATGTACATTGTTATTATGTAATTTGTGACTGCAGTCCTCCACAGATAACAACAGTAGTGAAGAAAACAACACATATTTAATTGTCACAAACTTTTCCAAGAGCATTTTAGAAAAGGCCCAAAGTGTGTGTGATGTGTTGAATCAAGGAGAGAAAAAACTCACACACTCAATTTGGAGCTAAATGGGTTAAAATAGCGGTTTGCAGCAACATCACCTGGCTTTCAGTAGCACCTGCTCCATAACCACACGCTTCTGCTCAACTTTCACATCTTCATTTATGTCTGTTCCGCCAAAGATAACGCCAAAGGGTACTTGGATGTCTGGTGTAAAGGTTAGGCATAAAACAGAAAGGTCCTGACATTTGTGGGACAGGTAGCAGCAGTATACTTGTAGCTCTACTATTATGTTGACAAATACAAATGACTGGAGATAAGTAAATGGTTCATAGGACAGCTAGGAGGTTTACCTAAGAGAAGTCTGCCTGCTCTGTACAGATGAATAGCCAGCGCACCCTCAAAGGGAGGACTTTGAGAGACTAGGTTTGCCACCTCAGCGGGAGACTGAAATTCTGCTGCATCTCTGAGGTCACAAGTGTGTCCCGCTGACTCAATGTGGGACCTAAAATAAAAGAAACATGACTGTGGAGGGCTGGTAGGAGGACAGGATGGTTAAGCAAACACTGGGGTTTTTTTGGGGCTTTATTAGGGCTGCAAATAATGATTATTTTCATTATCGATTAGTTGCTTGGTCCATAAAGTGTCAGAAAAAGGTGAAACATGTTGATCATTTCTCCCCCTAAGTCTACACTGTTTAAAAAAAAAGACAAGAAAAAGAAACTGTCTTCACTAAATTTTTGTAAAGTTTTGAAATAAACTAAAAGTTTTGCCAACCTATAATCTATTGTTGAGGTAATTTGCTTTTCTTCTAAAAATCTGTTTAGTGAAATTACAGTTAAAATTAGTTTTGATTATAATGTGAAAGTTTTTCACTTTAATGTGTTTGCAGAACAACTTTTGAAATAGATTTGTATTGTTTCTAAAACTTACAGATTTGTTTTTCATTATGATTTAGTTTAATTCAAAACTTGGGAGATTGACTTAAAACTAAAAAAAAAAAAGATAATGAAGACAGTTGCCTTGAAATTATGAGTTTTCTTTTCTTTTGTTGACATCCCCAAATGTCTTTTATCCACAACCCAAAGAGATTCAGTTATAGACTGTTTGCTGTCAGAGGATTAAAGAAAGCAGAAAATATTCACATTGAAAAAGCTGAAAACAAACAATTTGGACAAAAAAAACTCTAAATGATTGACAACCACAATAGCTGGTAGTTAATTTAATAGCTCACAACTAATCAAACAAGTGTCGCAGCCGTAAACTTTATCTCAAAAGCCCTTTTTGTTTCACTCATCCAGTCATTAAATGTTTTACTGGTTTCCTGTAGTTCCACTTCCTCCTGCCGAGAGCTGCACCTTCCTGAATCATGTTCTACTTAAAAGTCGTTGTGCACAAAGACAGCAGCTTTATTTAAGATAACCTAGTGAACAGTGAACAGCTACAGAACCATTAACAACAGCTGCTGATGTGGCAGCTAGCGCTTAAGGACAATATAAATTACCTTATCCTCTCAGCTGTAGTGTGGTTCCCGGTTTTAGGGCTGAGACAGGCAAGAAAGAGTAATTTCATATCTTCACTAAGAGGCTAACATGTAAACCTCAGTGGAATAATGCAGACGGTTGAGCCTCTGTGTGCTGTTTCTGGCTCGCTAATGAACTCCTATCACATTTCCTGAACTCATGCTTGCGCCACAGGGTTAGCGGTTAGCTGTTAGCATGTTTACAAGTCCGTCTGCGAAATGATCCCCTGGAAACACATAACGGCACCCCATTTGTTTAGAGACACTCATTTAGGAAGGGAGTTGACCAAAAACGCACCGACAGAGAGAATATTCACTGTCTCCTTACGAGTTATTAGCGGTACCAACAAAAAAAAAACATAACACGACCACTTCCTCCTCTCGGTGGTTCAGCGGCGGCGGAAACGGAACAGATCTACAAGTCACACGGATGCGCTGCTGTCGTCTAACTTTAGAGGGCACGTCGGCTACGTTCCACGTTAAGATCGTCTCCAGAGCAACGCGAGTGTGACAGCTATGTGTCACGCGGTAGTACTGTGACAGTGTGTGTTTTTTTTTTTTTGTTGACTTCCAGTTCTCCTTTTGTAGAAGTGTTGATTTAAGTCGAGACAGCGTAAACATTTGAGCGGTAACTACTCTCTAGGTTAATGGAGATAACTGAGGACCACTGGGACGTGTTTCAGTAATTAAAGGTAATGTAGAAACGCACTCTTCGCAAGCTGTCGCTGTGCTAAAGCTAGGTTTGTTTGTGTGTTAGATGAGTAAGGGGCTCTACTCGGGTGACTCAGATGTTTATAGTTGTTTATGTGTAAACAGTGTGTGTAAACAGTGTTGATGTTTGACTACTTTAAAGTCCCCTTCCAGTCAGAAATCTGTTTTTCTTCTTGTCCCTACAGCGTGATGTGTGAATGCTGTGTGTGTACGGGGTTTGACACTAGAAGGATGTTTTCACATTTATTTGCTCAAAGTGGAAAGTTTCTGTGTGTTCACTGGGAAAATCAGACCCACGAGCATGATTTGTGACATCAACAATAGTTTTGGAAGTCACACCTGGTCCAGTATGACACTTGAACAGGTGTGATGTAGAAACTTGAGGCCACCAGTGCACACACACACACACACACACACTGAGATTCTGGAGTAATTATGGATTAGTCATGGGACAATATATGAATATTTCTAGGGCTGTCCTCACTTGTCAGTGCGTGTTTATGATATTCATTTAATTATTTTAATATATATTTTAACATCGGTCTGTTAAATGCTTACAGAAAAAGTGGTAATGACTGTGAATGTGTCCGAACAGATGGCAAGAGAGAGATTTATTTCAACACAGTGTAACGGAATAAATAACAAACAAGTACGATGGATGCTGTATAACATTTACAAATCAACATGCTACGAACCGGCTCCTCTTCCTCCGTTTCATTCCTCTCCTGTCGCAGCCTGAACCCGCCGTGTCTTCAATCCCAGAGTCAGAGTCCTGGTTGGAGCCACTGTGAATCAGCTGGCCTCTGTTGAAGCTATGAGCCCATTTCAGTTGCGGGCTCTTTGGCAGTATTACCCGCTGGGTCCCCCTACCCCTACTCTAGTAGTGTTTAAACTGCCCCCTGTCCTTTTGAGCTGGGACAATTAAAAAATAAATCAAACTGCACAATAGTTAGCTTTTTCAAAATATTCCCAATTATCTCGATTCCTTATTATCCCAATAATGCAAATACACCCCAATGTGCTTTTGTGAGTGTTTATCACTATAAGGGATAATATTGTATATCGTTTGTTCCAAGAAAACTATTTGTATGTGTCGTAATACATGTCTGGAAGGGATCTTTAACCTCTTTTTGTATTTTCTTTACAGGTTTGAACTCTTACTAATAAAGAAGAACCTGTTGAGAATGGCTAACGGCAGGGATGCCAATGAGAGCACCCCTCTTTTGGACTCAGATTCTGGGAACAGACCTTCACCACCCTCAGTTTTCGAGGGAAGGAGACTGGCATGTGCAGCCATCCTGCTGGCTGAATCATTGGAAAGGATTGCCTTCTACGGCATTACATCCAATCTTGTCCTTTTTCTCAATGGTAGCCCCTTTTATTGGGAGGGCACTCAGGCGAGTCAGGCGCCTCTGATGTTCATGGGAGTTACTTACCTGATTTCGCCATTCGGAGGCTGGCTGGCGGACGCATACCTTGGGAAATTCTGGACAATTGCTTCAAGTTTGATCCTATATTTTCTTGGCATGCTATTTTTCCCTTTCATTTCAAATGAAGGCACCAGGATACAACTATGTGGAGAAGAGGTGGCGTTTCCGGTGCAACCTGCGGAGTGTCTGAGCACAAACAGTACCCCACCAAGCAATGTAACCTGCCCCATTCGTGCCCCATATTGTGGCCCAGTAGTCTACAGCGGACTGTTTTTAATTGCATTAGGCGTGGGTACTGTGAAGTCCAACATCACTCCCTTTGGGGCAGATCAGGTAGAGTATGAACCACTTTCCCATCTTAAAAGTCTGCATCAAATAAAGAATGCTAAAAGGATACAAAGAATTCAATATGCTAGAAAGCCTTTGAATAGGATGTTACACAGGCCTGTATAAGATTGCGTATGCAGTATAACATCAGGGAGGTTAGACATGTGATGGGATTTCTGTTGCACCGTGACAGTTCCCTTTTAGACATGCATGCCTTTGATTATCGTGGCAGCTTATAAGTATTTCCATTATAAAGTTGACTTTAGACTGCATTTATTTATTTCTCTCACTCACACTAATGTACACAAACACACAAGAACAATGCCTGGAATTATACTTTGGTGGTAAAAAGAAGTAAAACACAACACAGTTTGGTGGCCAAATAATATAAGATTATCCAGATGATGAGCCAGGGGTCTCACACTCTAATGGGGTTGGGGCCACTACTGGTATTGCCACTTCCACGTTCAAGTACTACAAGAAAGCGCAATATTCCAGAAATGGCCCCCGTACTGACAGTTTGAGACCCCTGCTCTACAAGAAGCAGCCATAGAAATGGGAAAGTTCATCAATGGGGCGATTGTTTTTCAAAATAATCTAACCAGGGGTGGATAAAAGCTTTCAAAGGGAACTGGCGTGGTGAATATGATTAGTACTTGAGCCCACTAGGCTCATTACAAGATTTTCACATGTTCCTCAATGCTCCCTTTGAACATGTTCAAACGCACACAATACGCAAACAACATCAAGCAAAATCCATACATCGGAGTGAAACAAAAGAGAAACACAGAACCTCTTACAGCAGCACACAACAGAGAAAAACCCAGCAATACATAGAATAAATCAGCTTCATTTTACTGGTGCCAGTGGTTGTTAAACTGAAAATCATTATAAGACTTGACAAAACATGTTACTTTTTTATGAGTAGTGAAAATGTAATAGGAGCTGCATCACTTTGAGGCACAATTTTCCCACTAATTCTCCTCCAGCTGAAAGTCCTAATTAAGTGGCGAGAGGAAGCTGTTAATACTTGAAATGTGCAAGGTTTGAGTAAAATTGAAAGATTTCCTGTTACATGCGGCTCGATTTCTGTCTAAGAAATAATTGCACCCCTCTTGCAGAGTGAAAATTGCCATAGTCAGTGTTGTAAGTTTAAAGGGGGAAAAAAATATCAATATGCAACTTGAGTATAGTAATCATGAAGTTTTACTGGGGCTGCTGTTGCATCTGTGTAGGAGTGGGTGGGGGATAGATCCGATTTTTGTCCTGTTATGAGTCACTGCAGATGTAATGTCTCTCAGCTCATGACCATTGTAATATTTACTCACCATATTCTGCATTTGATGGAGGGTCAACACTGAAACAAGACAGTAAATTAAATGTTTGTCTTGTCCTGAGGCTGGAGGGAACACAGCTGCTTATCGATCTTGTGTCAAAACTAAATGTACAACGGGGGCTACAAACGTACCCCCCGCTCTATGTACGTATTCTTTTAAAATGCAGTTGTTGGAAGCACATGGCAATCACCTGCATAGTTTAATGACTCATTTTCTAACTACACTGAACATCCGCAGAGAGGAACCCCAGAGAGATTTATGCTCAGCCTCGGCTCGTGAATGCCGTGACATTATCTCCCCAATAGTTAATTGTAGCTGTACCGCTGTATCTTCTGTGCTCACATATAAAAGACATATCCACTTCATCACGCGCTGATATAATCTTTTCCTCCACGAGGATAACTGTATGCGGAATGGATCAGTGCCATTATGAGAATAATATTATTTGCTTGCATAGACATTTAACTGAATTTATTGCTGTTTTAGTAAGCTAATGGTGTAGGCTATCATAACCGATTCAGTTGGAATGCTCTAAGCCACAGTAAGCAGATAAAGAAGTAACCAGAAGTTGCTGTTTATTTTGGTTTCTCTCCCCGACATGAAGGAGAAAAATCTCTTGCTTCTACCAACTTTATGCGGCTGTAGACAGTCGAGGCAATTCATTCAGTAATGGGAAAAAAAAAACCCAAATGTGTTGAATGAAACTTGACGTCACATCCTTGTCAGTTTCAGCTTGTGATTGTTGTTCCTCTTTCTCGGCGCAGCTTGTCTTCTCTGTCATGTACTGTCAGGAGTTCTATTTTTATTTTTTTTCAAGCTATTTAACATGTTTTGTTGACCAATGCAAGTGCACTTTAAACGCTTAAGATTCGGTCCGCCTGGAGTTATTTTCCTCATGTGACTTGCATATCAAAGTGCTGATGAGCACACTTCTTTTACAGCTGACAAAAGCTGCTAGTTGACAGTCAAAGTGGTGTGACACACAGCTGCAGCAAAGTCCATGCAGGTCTTTTTATATACGAATATAAAATTGCTTTTACATTCTCCCTGTATGTTGTACCAACTTACAGTTAGCACTTAGGGCTGCAACTAACAATATTACAGCCATTTTATCAATTATTCGATTAGTAGTTTGGTCCATAAAATGTCTTTTTTCTGTCGGTTTCATCCAAACCTCAGAGATATTCAGTTTACTGTCATAGAGGAAAATAGTCACATTTAAGAAGCTAAAAACAAAGAATTTGGACATTTGACTCAAAATGATTAATGGATTATCAAAGTAGTTGCAGTTAATGGTGTAAAACTAATCGATTAATCAACTAACTGTCACAGCCCTGCTTACAACCACATGACTGATTGCTGTCATCCTGCTCTGTGTGTTATCTCAGGTCAAAGACAGAGGACCAGAGGCCACGCGCAGATTCTTCAACTGGTTCTACTGGTGCATCAACTTAGGCGCCATCCTGTCTCTGGGAGGTGTGGCCTACATTCAGCAGAATCTCAGCTTTGTGCTCGGCTACATCATTCCCACTGTGTGCCTCGGCATCTCCTT